ACAATTTATTATTCTTCTCTGTTTTGGATGAAGGATGCAATTGTCTTGCATTATCAGAATGGTTGCTGTATCCCTTGGTTTTGCTCTTTATTGTTGAAGAAGGTCCGATATTGGGGCATAGATGTATTGGGAATGACTATGCTGCAAAAACAATAGGAATTGGAGCAGCTGGTTGGCACAGTGGATAAAGCATTGGCCCTGGAGTTAGGAGGATCTGTGTTCAAATCCTGCCTCAGACACTTGACATCTACTAGCTGTGTGACCTTCACAAAGTCACTTAACCCTGATTGCCTTACCAAAAAAACCAAAAACCCAACAAAAAATCAAACAACAAATAAAACCAATAGCAAACAGTAAAACTTAATTTTTAAAATTTCTCTATGAGTAAAGGGTATACATTTGTCTCTGAGTGCTACTTTGCATGTGTTTGGTAAATTCTGATATGTTGCATTTATAAGATTATTTTTAGTGTTTTCATTATGATTTCAATATTTTATTGTTCAATAATTATTCAGTGAATAGTTAACTTTTATGTAGACCTATATCTTTTGATCAGATTTTCATTGTTGATTACTTTTTAAAAATTACATTATCATCCATAAATAACATTTAATATTTTGATCTTTCTTAATTTGTTCAAAACTGCTTTTTGCCTTTGAACATGATAACATTTGGTAATTATTCCATGTAAAGTTGAAACACAATATACTTATTACCTTTTGTTTAATTCTTTCTATTTATCTGTCAAATCTAATTTTCTTAGCATTTTATTCATCTTTATTGTTATTTTATTTTATTCATCTTTCTTGTTATTAATTTATTTCAGTTATCAGATTCTGAAAGTAAGATATTGAACTCCCCTACTATCAAAATTTATGTTACCAATTATTTTTGGAAATTATTTTCCAATTACTTTTCTTTTATATACTTAGATGCTATGCCATTAAGTTTTTAGATGTTAAATATTTATCTTTACCCACTGTTAATAATAATTTTATATATAAATAATTCTCTTCTTTATCCTTCTTAGTGGTTTCTAATTTGAATTTAGGTTTTTTTTTTTTCTGATATTATCACTTCCTCTTTGGATTTTCTTGACTTAAGTGAAGTATGATAATTTTGTTTCATTCTGACTTCCTATGTATATTTTCTATGCTAGAGTGTCAGACTTGCACCCTATAGGCTACCAAACTCCCCAGTATGGCCTGAATTAAAATAAAATGAAATTGGGAAATGTTTTACAAAATAAATAAAAATGCAATACAACATAAATAACATCAATTTGTGGTTCTTTAAGTTAATGTGTGTCGTGAAGGGATCCGTTTCTATTTAAGTTTGATACCACCATTCTATTCTATGTATGTATTTTGACATTAGACATTTTATTTTGACAACTTTTTTGACATTGGATATTTCATTTTGGCAACTTTTTCAGCCATGGTTTTCATTCTTTCATCATTTCATTCTTATTTTTAGAGCTTAATTAAATCAGTTTAATAAACATGTATTAGGCCCTATGCAAGGCACCATGTTAGGCACTGAGTATATAAAGAAAAAAATGAAACCATTAGGGAACTTAAATTCTACTGAAAGGGGTATAATGTAGAGATGGATAACTATATACAAAATAATTTAAGGTGGGAGAGGGTATTAACAACTATGGGATCATTGCTGTTCGCCTTCTTTTGTTGTATCTTCTTCCACGAATTGTGGATTTCCCCCAAGGATCTGTCTTGGGCCCTCTTCACTTTTTATACTATATAACTTGGTGATGTCATCAGCTCCCATGGATTGACTTATTATGACTATGTAGAAGATCCTCAGATCTATTGTTGTGATCCTAACCTCTTTCCTGATCTCCAAATGTCACCAAATACTTGTTAGACATCACAACTAAATATCTTGCAGTTGTCTTAAACTCAACATGTTCAAAACAAAACTCATTACCCCTTACACTCTCCTCTCTACCCAAATTCCCTATTTCTCTTAAGGGTACCACCATCTTCCCAGTTACTTAAGCTTGAAATCTTGTTCCTTCATTTGATTCCTCACACTCACTTTATATATCCAATTTTGTGTCAAATCTTGTTCCTACCTTCATATCATATGTATGTATGCACACATGTTTATATATATATGTACACATATACACACACATGCATATACACAGATGTATTGGGCAGCTAGGTGGTACAGTGGATAGAGTACGAGGCCTGGAGTCAGGAAGACTCATCTTCCTGAGTTCAAATTTGGCCTCAGACACTTACTAGCTGTGTGATCCTGGGCAAGTCACTTAACTTTGCCTAAGTTTCCTCATCTATAAAATGAGCTGGAGAAGGAAAGGTACTCTGATACCTTCCCTCATTATCTCACATCTGGACCATTGCAGTAGAGTTCTGGTTGGTCTCTCTGCCATAGGTGTCTTCCCCCCTCCAGTCCATCATTCACTCAGCTCTCAAAGTGACCTTCCTAAACCATGTCTGACCATATTATCCCTTCCTCAGAAAATACTAGTAACTACATATTGCCTCTAGGATAAAAAGGAAATCCTTGGTTTGGCTTTTAAAACCCTTCACAGTCTGGCCTCTCTCTACCTTTCTAGTCTTCTCACACCTTCCTCCCCTCTGGGTACGTTGCAGTCCAGCCACACTGAACCTTTGGCTGTTGCTCGCAGACAGTACTTCATCTCAGGGTTCCTGAGCTTTTTCACTGGCTGTCCCTTGTTTCTATCTCTGGGCTTTCTTTAAAACTCAACTCAAAACCCAACTTCTGCGGTGCCCTGTCTTGAACCCCACCCATTTCCAGTGCCTGTGCTGAGATTACTTCCTATTTACTCTCTCTCTATCTTGTATGTACATTGCTAGAGCTTTCTTTGTGTCCTCAGCACAGTGCCTGGCACAGAATGGGCAATTAAAATGCTTTTTTGAAAGGCTGATCAGGAAATGCTTCACATAGGAAGTGATATCTGAGTTGAACCTTGAAAGGAGTTAATATTCTAACAAGTAGAAATCAGGAAGAAATACACTGTGGGGATCAGGCTACATGGAATAAAGATGGGAGATGAAATTTCAAGTTTGGGAACAGTTAATTTTGTTAAATTGGACTTATCTTCTACCAATTTTTGTTTAATTTTTTTATTATTTGGTACAGGAACAGTATTTTCCTAATTTTATCAGTACTAATACTTCCCCAAATTTAATACCCATCATCTCAATGAACTAAGTTTCTCTATTTTATGCTAATAACTAATTTTTTTTTTTTTGGTGAAAACATCACCCTCTCCCCTCTTGTTTACTTTAGGAGTTTCTCTGTGATTGCCTTTTCTCTCTTTCTCAGAAATCTGACCAAAGACAAGTCAATCTTCTTCTATTCCCTTTCTGGTTTTCTCTCTCAACCCCAATTTTGTCATTGATTTATTAGCTAACCAATATGATACTACTGTTATTTTTAATCTCCTATGATGATTGTATTGAGATAGTAAGTAATCAAAATTATAAATTATCTGTTGATTATAACAATTGACCCAAGGCTGTTCCAAAGGTTCAATGCTCTTGCCGGTTTTTCACCTCATACAGCACTCTGAGATTAATCTTCCATTCTATGAACTACTCAGAGTAATCTTGAATTTTAATTTTGAAATTTTACTTTTTTTAAACTTAGTTTTTTTTGGAAAGCTTATCTGGGAATAAAGTTCTGCATATCAATTTTCAGTATGTCGTATCTCAATTTTTGTTTCTGTGGAAAAATTCTATGAAATTTGAATTGATATTTTTAGATGATCTTCATGCTTGCTTATGATATCTTGTTTTAATGTTGAAACATAACAATTATATATACATACATATATGTGTGTATATTCATATGTATAATGTGTGCAAAGGTATATATATATACACACACACACATATATACATAATACATATACATTATATATATACAAAATACATATGTTTTGGGTTCACCCATATTGGTATTTTAGGAGCTCTATCCATTTGTAAACTGTTCCTCACTTTCAATATTTCTGAGAAATTTTCTTCTATTATTTCCTGAAATATTGGTCTTGTTATTTTCTTCTTTACTATTGTTGTGAAGTCTGGTAATTTAAAAATACCTAATCTCTGATCTGTCTTACAGATCTGTCACTCTTTTCCTCAAAGCTTCAAAATATATATTTTTTCAATATAGTGATTCTCTGGGTTTGTTTTTCTGCTTCTACTTTTCTTTCAAACCGCTATTTCCTCAAATAAAATAGTTCTATTTTTCAGCGAGCCTACTGATTTATAGATATGTATATGTGCACATATATATGTACACATACATATATGTGAATATATATGATGATTTCAAAAAAGGAGTTTTTAAATGCCCATGGATATTAAATATCAAAATTTATAATAAAATTTATATAAAAATAAATATATTCACTTAAATATATTTATTTATATTTAAGTATTATAAAGAAATAATAAATAAAATAAACATATAAAATAATTTTTAAAACACATATTTTAACCCATGGGTATTTCTAAACTCTTCACTTTCATATTCATCATGTTCTGCTATTTCTTAGTTGCATTATATTTTATTTTTATGGATTGAGTTTATATTGTGCTGAATTTGTCTCAGTGAGTTTTTTTTTTATTCTTTAGGGTTTTCTAAGTACACTCTCATGTTGTCTGCAAATATAATTTTTCCTTTCACTTTTCTAATGATTGTTCCTTTAATTTCTTTTTCTTGCCTTACTGCTATAGTTCATATTGCCAATTCTATGTTAAACAGTAGTGGTGACAGTGAAAATTCTTGTTTCACTCCTTTTTAGTGTTTAGAAGATTTTGATGTTTCTCCATTGCAGATAATACTAGCTTTTGGTATTGGAGAAAAACTTGGGATCAGAGAGAAGTTTTCGTTCCTCTGTTTTAAATTTTTTAAAAAATATATAAATGAAAGTTGAATTTAGGAGTACCTTTGCTTTGATCATGTGTTTTCTTTTTCTCCTATAGATGATCTTAGTGGCCATATTTTCAGAAACTGGATTTTTTGACTATTGCGCAGTAAAAGTAAGTTTTTGTAGAATTTAGAAATCACATATATTCCTGTATTCATATAGCTACATTTATCAAATACAATTGCCCTTTATAAACAAATCACTAAGAAAAGCTGCATATTTTCTGAATTGTCTCTTTGAGAATAGTGAACAGTCCCCATGTGAAAGAGTTTAATGGTTCTTATGACCATTTTTATGCTCATAAAATAATCAGAGATGTGGATAAAGGCATGAATGCTTGGGTTAAATCTTTTGTGTAATTTTATTTCAGCAGGTAAGTTCAGATTGACACAGCTATATATATTTTTTGCTTTTCTTTTTTGATATAAAGCATTACAAGTCATCCATTTCTGATAACTATATTGTTTAATAGAGTAATTTTTGTGATCCCTTTTTACACTGTGCATTCTTAAGGTTCATTTTGAGTGGCATTAGTGTGGGTGAATCAAAAGAAAATCACAGGTCCACCCTCATTATACTTGCAAATGATTGAGCAATGATATTGCCGTTTTTTCCTTTGGTAAATTATTATAATTTTTATTTGTAAGCTGACCTTTCTCATTCCCAGAAAAAGCTAAACATTCTGAAGGTAACATTAATCGGAGTGTGTAAAGAGTGTGAGACTAGGAAGCAAGACGCATGATTAATTTATTTATTGCAGAAATATTTATTGAGCACCTACTACATACAAGAAAATAGCAAACTTCTCTAAAATAAACCTGGTTCATTTTCTACTCTTCTGGTGAATGGCAGAGAGTAAAAGGCTAGACTAGCAATGTCTATAGAAAGCGGAGTATTTGGATAGTGAAGAAATCATGGACATAATGGAACATCTAAGTCCCTCTAATGCTCTGTTTTGCTCCAATCAGAGAATGTGAGGATGCTGACATTTGTGGCATATAGCCTCTGATGAGGGGTATAGGTTGCATTCCCCACATTTTTAGATTGGATCATTTATATAGTCAAAGGCTGAATTAGTTTGGCACGGGTTAGATACAGTATGGTTTGGATAGCAGGGTTCAGGAACTATGCAGAAGTGAATCTAACATGTATTATCCTATAATAATTGAGACCCAATGGCAAACCACTCCAGGATGGGATCACAAGGAGTCAGACACGACTGAAATGACTGAGCAACAACAAAAGTATGCCGGGCATTGTACGAAGTAGTGGGGATACAAAGAAAAGACAAAAAACCAAACAAACCCAAAGTCCTTATTCTTAAGGAGTTCACAATCTGATTGGGAAAACATGATTGTAAGCTCATTGAAAGTAATAGGAGTTGTGCTGTTTTTTTTTCTAATCTTTGTTTCTCTATACCCAAACTTGCCTTAAACAGGGCTAGAACTTAATACGTTGTGTTGAATTAAAATGAGTTGAATGGTCTTGGTGCTTTGCAGTAAAGAACTTTGTATACCTCTTAATCCTTACAACCCTGTGAGGAAGTTAACATTAGTCATTTTAACGAAGAAAAAATACATGCTTGATACATAAAATAAATTAGAGGCAGTTAGGTGACATGGGTTGAGCCTGGAGTCATGAAGACCTGAATTCAAATCCTGCCTCAGACACTCTCCAGCTGTATATAAGTCACTTTACCCCTGTTTGCCTCAGTTTCCTCAGCTGTAAAATGAAGTTAATAATAGCACCTCCTTCCTAGGGTTGTTGTGAGGATCAAATGAGTAAAGTATTATAGTACTTTGAGTAAAATATTGTAAAGTACTAAGCAGTGGCATGCAGAAGGTACCATATAAATGCTAGTTATTATTATTATTATTATTTAAATAGGAAAATAAGATTAGACATTGGGCCAGATGATTTTCCATTATACCATACTGCCTGTCATGAAAACTTGTCTCTATAAATGAAATCAACTATGTATTCAAGGAAATCACTAATTGCTGGGGGCTTTTCTTTCGGTATTTGTTTGTGTTTATTAGGCATACTGGCTGTCTCGAGGCAAAGTGTGGGCCATGATCATCATTCTGTGTCTCATTGCTGCATTCCTTTCAGCATTCTTAGACAATGTCACCACCATGCTGCTCTTTACACCTGTTACCATAAGGTAAGCAATGACTATTTACTTTTCGTAAGGTCAGCTTTATGAGTGATCAGGTTGAAATTTTTTTATCTTGATGCAGATCAAAAATGAGAATGACTTAAAAATTTCAAATTCTAAATAATTAAATATCAGTGCAAGATTCTTGTGTCCGTCTTGTTTCTCACCTCATGATAGAATGGAAGTTCCTTGAGGGCAGGGACTGTTTTATTTTTTGTCTTTCTGTCCCCAGTAACAGGTATGAGCTTGACATACACAAGGCACTTGATAAATTTTTGTTGATCGCTGGATTACTCCCTTGTCATGTACCAGACACAATAATGCTTTGATATTTTGGATCTATGATATCCCAGAGGCAGGTAATCCCTCCAATGGCGAAGATGATATTCTGGGCAACTTTGTGTTCTCTCATAAATTTGTCATGGAAACTCAATGCGCACACAATTTCCAAGTTAAAGGTTTTCTTTTTTGCAAAATTTATCTCTCAAGGACATTGAGTAATCAGTTACTTTTGGCATACACTGAACTTGAGAGGTGAAATTGAAAAAAAAAAAAGGGGGACACAGCTAGCCAAGGAAATACAGGGGAGATTTCTGGGTTTGAGAAATTGCAAATGTGTGTCTTTGAAGAAAAAGAATTTCAGGAGACAGTCTGTCTGACTAGGATAAGTTGATTAACTGGAGGCAAGCTATGGTGAGATGGTCTGAGGGCCAAGATGTGACACTATCTTTCAGAAAATGCAACAGACCTGGAGAAATTATGGTGAAAAACAAACAAGAAAAACCTTCCCTCTCTTTGTGATTCTCATCATTCTAGCCCCAAACCATTTGGTAAGAGTGAGCCTTTGCTCTAAGACATCTCCAAAAGTCTCATGATGGAAAATGCCATCCACATCCAGAGAAAGAACTATGGAATCTGAATGTAGACAGAAGCATACTTTTTGCTCTTTTTTTCCTTCTGTTTTGTTTTGTTTCTTCTTTCTTGTGGTTCCTGCTACTTGATTCTAATTCTTCTTTACAACATGACTAATGTGAAAATATGTTTAATAGGAATGTATATGTAGAGCCTATATCAGATTGCATGCCATCTTGCAGAGGGTGGGGGAGAAAATTAAAAACTCAAAAGCTTATGGAAGTGAATGTTGAAAACTAAAAATAAATTAATAAAAAAAGAGCAGGCCTTTGTCTTGCTAAGAAACAGGACCTTCCTTGATGACCACACACAATAGTTCATGGAGACAATTTGCCATTTTCTACAGCTCTATTTCAAGCTGTGTATGCTAAAATATTTGTTTTTCCCCCTAACAGTACTTTCCCTGCCTCTTTTGAATCCCTTTAAAGAAAAGTAGTTTTCAAGACCTCATTTCTTGGCTCTTCTAGAGGTCTTCATTTGGGTCTAATTCCATTCTACTACCAGAAACTGTCTAATGTAGTGGCAAGAGCCTTGGTTTTGGAATTAGATGACCTGTGTTCAAATCCCAACCCTGATATTTATTAGCTCTGTGTGTATACACAGCTCATTTAATCTTTCTGAGCCTCAGTTTCCTTATTTGTAAAATAAGGACATGAATATTTGCACAAATAATAATAGTGGTTAGCATTTAGGTAGAACTTTAAGATTTACAAATTCTTTATATTTATATATATATACATACATATACATATATATATACATATACATATATATATATATTATATATATATATATATGAAATGTTACCTCATTTGATCACCCAAACAAACTTATAAGGTAGGTACTATTTATTATCCACCTTTAACAGATGAGTAAACTGAGACTGAAAGATAAAATGACTTGTCCATAGTCACATAGCTAGTAAATACTTGAGGCAGAATTTAGATTCAGGTGTTTCAGCCTGACTCTCTCATGCAGTTGTAAGGGCAGATAAATGGCACAATGGATAGAGCACTGGGCCTGCAATCAGGAAGAACTGAGTTCAAATCTGGCTTCAGACACATGCTAGCTGTGTGACCCTGGAAAAGTCACTTAAGCCTGCTTGCCTCAGTTTCCTCATCTGTAAAATGAGCAGGAGAAGGACATGGTAAACCACTCTAGTATCTGCCAAGAATACCCCAAATGAGGTCATGAAGACTCGGACACAACTAAAATGACTGAATAGCCACAACATCTCATGAGGTTGTCTGCAGCATGCCTATTTTTGTATATTTTTTCAGTTGCACATTCTCTGAGGGCAAGAGCTATGTTGTTCTCCATCTTTGTATCATCAGTCCGTAGCCTGTTGCCTTCCATATAGTAGATACTTAATAAACATTTATTAAATTTGTTCTTGAATTGATGGAGGACACCTAGGATTGGTAAGGTTGAAAGGAAAGTCTTAATGACCAGGAATCTCAACATCTGGATTTAGTTTTAATTTTACCACTAGATTATCTGAATGACCTTGACCTATATAGCCCCAGGTTGCCAAGATTCAGCATTAAATCTCCTTACTTAGCTCAAGAATGTGGTGGGAGACTTTGGAGGTCTCTCCCAGGATCATAGATTTGGGAAGACTTCTCTGGGATGATAGAGAATGTTTGGTCTAGCCTGTGTGCAGGGTTTTTATAAAACTCACTTTGTTGGAGATTCTAGTGATTTTGAGGAGGAACTTATGCCCAAGTTTTGGGGTGCCAGGCCAGGAAAGCAGACCAGAGGTGGAAACATGAGAATATAAGGACCAGGGAAAGCAAGGAGAGAATCAAAGTAGAAGGAGTCGACTGAATCTGAGATTACACCTAATTGGTTTTTGTGGCAGCTGGTTAAAGTGAAGTTCATTCAACAGCTTCTTTCTTCCCCTTGCTTTCCCTAGTGCACAGAGCTGGGAAAATATTCACTCAGATTTTAAAGTTCATCCTCTTTCTGTTTCAGTCCCCTTCTTACTGGATGCAAGTATGGTCTGAGGAAGGGAGAAAGAGATGACCCTAGTCACGTTATAGCCTTCTTTATTTTGTTGGGATATTTATTTGTATTTCTGTGTTACTTGATACTGTTATTAAATTACATGCCCATTTATTATCAGTGATTTTTTTTTCAAAATTTATAAATTATTTGATCAAGATTGAGAGAGGGGAAATTAATCCATGTGAAAAGAGGTCTCTGGTTTTATTTTAGGGTGGGGGTGAGCTAGAAAAAGTTTCTGCAATTTTGGTAATTTATTGAGAATGTTTCAGAGTATAAACTAGACTTCCTTTGAAAAATGAGACAGAGAGACAGAAAGGCAACAGTCTGTGAGATAAGATAGAGAATGATGAGGGCTGGTGGTTATCTCAGAATGCATCTTGTGTCACATACCTATATCTCATAATAAACAACTGTTTGACCACAACTTGATGTTGCTTTCTCTAGCCTGAAAATAAATGGTGGTCTCCCACACTCACCCGGGCAGCTAGGCCCTCTTGAGTAGAGAACTACTTAGCACTGACAGGGGCTTCAGGGGAATCTAAAACCTCTGAATTTCTCAGAGAGCAGGTGCTCTTCCATTCCCTAACTCTACTCTGCATGGCAGTTTCTCACTGTGCTAATTAAAGAACACAGACAATACAGATTCATCATTGGGTCTCAATATGCTATCCTACTGGGACGCTCCTCCCTTCTCCCTGGGTCTGCAACATCTCACTGAACCCTACTCAGATGAACAAAGCATCGTGGAGTAATCCACTAAAATAATTCAAAGAGCATTACTTCTTTATACAGTTTTTACTCTTAGGCATTAGCATGTCCAAAAGGAATAAATAGTCAATATATAATAGAACAACTTCTGCTTGACTGCATGGGCCAGACCTAGGCAGACCCATAACTAGTATATAGGTTTGCTCCAAATTAAAAAGTTAAGAAAGACACAGTTGAAGTTCCCCTTAGATCTTGGCCTCCTATCCATCCAACATTAGTAAGCATGATGGAGGAAACAGAAAAGAATTACATAGGATGGGCAGGTATATATGGGTTTTAACCTACATTGTTAGAAGGGATATCCACATTGATGAGGTCACACATGAGCTGGAGTATTATTGTAATCTTCTTGCGATGAACTGAAAGTTGTTGGTAGCCCTTCAAAAATCTGAGGTCTTCATAAAGGAATGTGATATAGAGACAAGATGTTTTTTAAAAATTTACGATGATGAGAGAAACATTGAGTTTTGAGAGATCTAACTCAGCTTTCTCAGTCTATAGTTAGTTTTATAGTTACAGTTAGCCAGATAATTACTTTTATGATTATTCTTAGAAGGAAAAATAGGATTTATACATTTATATATTTGGATGTCTACCATGCTGGGCTCTTTCTTTTCCTCAGTTGTTGGGTTTCTTGCCCCTTGTCTATAACTTTGCAGATGTAATTGCATGCTGTCACTACTGTGGCGATGAAATAGACCAAAAAATTCTCCTACTTTCCTGATAATAAAGATTAATAGCTGGATTTGGTTCCCTATTACTCTGGGGGCATAAAACACCCTATGACTTCTTAGAGCACAGTATTTGTTACTGGTAAACATACTTAACCCCTCCCCCCAGCTGTGAGATAGGAACACATGAAACACTAGACTGAATCAGACCAATGAGGCATTTAGGTCATTATTCTGTTTCTGACAATGACATTAAGGGATGCTGCTGCCATCAACTTCAAAAGTTGAGGATGCACACAAAACATCTCTACCTTCCCTTTAATGCCATCATGGAGTTTGTAAAAACAGTGAATTTGTTTCATGAATTTGTATGGATTTTACCATTTTATCATGTCCCACCTCTGAAAATAGGGGATTTCATCAGTTTTCTCTTCTTCTTCTTCTTCTTCTTCTTCTTCTTCTTCTTCTTCTTCTTCTTCTTCTTCTTGTTCTTGTTCTTGTTCTTCTTCTTGTTCTTGTTCTTGTTGTTGTTGTTGTTGTTGTTGTTGTTGTTGTTGTTGTTGTTGTTCTTCTTCTTCTTCTTCTTCTTCTTTCTTTCTTCTTCTTCTTCTTCTTCTTCTTCTTCTTCTTGTTCTTTTGTTGTTGTTGTTGTTGTTTGTTTCTGTTTGTTGTTGTTGTTCTTCTTCTTCTTCTTCTTCTTCTTCTTCTTCTTCTTCTTCTTCTTCTTCTATTGGTTTGTCTAAGAACTCTGTGTTCCAAGGATACTTGTTCTCTCATCCTGATATTAAAGTCAGTAAACAAGTCTGTGTTTTCCCTATTCAAACTAAGCACAATTTTATGAATCTTAAGCCATTGGTGGTACAATCTTGATATTTTTAGCCTAAACTCATATCAGATGTTTAACTGTGTCTTGAAGTGGATCCTGTTTCTGTCTGACGCTTTGCACAAACTTTATCTAATGTGCATTTTTAAAAACATCTGACAGGTTTTGTTTTACTTTCCCACTGATTGTGGTTTTTATGACTTCAGTAGATCTTAATTTTTTTTTTAAGGGAAAGGCTGTTTATAACCAATGCAGATCACTGGAACAGTAGGTAATAATTTCTATCTGCTCGTTAGTTTTTTTGTGTGACTTCTCCCAAGGACCATGGCACACATTCCTTCCTTGGACTTTGTTGCTCCAATTCCTACTGGTGTTGGTGTTTTGGCGACTTGAAATTAGGGTTGGAGATAAGTTATATAAAAGGGTGAGGAGACAAAAAATGAAATGACTCCTTCTCTTCTTGGGACTGACTGTGCTATTCCTAGAAACCATCCTTGGTTTCTTGCTAAGGATCGTGATATTCCTGAGACTAATCACTAATTCACTGGAGATGAAAGGGAGACTATAAGATCTCTGTAGGTATTTTCCAGACTTATTTATTGCTCAGTTGTTTCAATCATGTCCAACTCTTTGTGACCCCATTTGGGATATTCTTGTCAAAGATACTGGAGTGGTGTGCTCTTTCCTTTTCCACCTCATTTTCCAGATGAGAAAACCAAGGCAAACAGGATTAAGTGACTTGTCCAGGGTCACACAGCTAGTAAGTATCTGAGGCCGCATTTGAACTCAGGTCTTCCTGACTCTATGCTCTATCCACCATGCAACATATCTGCCCAGACAATAAAGCCCTAGCTTTTCCAGACAACTGATAATAAAAATTAATAGTTGGATTTAGTCTCATATTGCTCTGGGAGCATAAAACACTACGAATTCCCAGACCTCAGCATTTGTTAGTGGTTGACATGCTTAAATCTCCCCCCAGCCATGAGAGAGGAAGATGTGAAACCCTAAACTGAATCAGCAATGTTCCTGATGCTCAGTATGTATAAAACTGGGGACTCAGAGAATGGGTTGGAATACACTTTAGGAGCTGTCCAACTTGGGGGCAAGGCAAAGGTAACAAAGCAACATAAAAAGTAATCTCGAACCCCAAAGTGAGTCTGTTGGTGCTATGAATGCTACTGATGCCATTGCTTCATGTGCTGCTGCTGAAATTTTCACTCAGGAGATCTGGTTACCGAGTCCTCTCTCATTCAAGGAAGTCTGTCTTACTATAAGCTCTTTGCTCTATGGATAAAAAGAGCTGATTGTGCACTGCACAAATACCATTCCTACATGCCTATGAAAGCACCCTCCTTGTACTTCCCCACCAAACCCATGAGGCAGAGAAGTGGGTTTGTTTGCATTTTTGCAGATAAGGCTGCTGAATCACAGGTAAAATAAATGCATGGAACTATATGATCTGAGCTCCTTGGCTGCTAGCCATGCCCATACATATTAGTTTTAATTTTCTTTTGGTTGTCTGTGTATGTGTGTGTTTTGTACCCTAAGTATGAAGTTTGTTTTTGTTATTTGGGTTTCTATAAGACTCTCAGATTCTGAAGGGCAATTTAATCAAAGGCTAAGTGAGTGGTTTCATTTCCCTCTATCTTCAACAGGTTGTGTGAGGTGCTCAATCTTGATCCCAGACATGTCCTAATAGCAGAAGTGATTTTTACAAATATTGGAGGAGCTGCCACAGCTGTTGGGGATCCACCAAATGTGATTATTGTTTCCAATCAGGAGTTGAGGAAGATGGTATGTATCAAGATAATTGGATTTCCACAAACACATGCAGATATTGGCTTACTTGTCAACTTATACCTCTTATCCTTAGGGATGTCTTTACTGGAAACTATGCACAGTTCCTCCTTGTTGACATTTTCTTTTGGGTGCTGCTGGACAACTTAAGAATACAAGGGTGTTTGGCTGACATTTGCATTAGGAGTTAAGTAGTTTGAAATTGTCTCATTCTTGTGCTGGTTTAATTTATGATACATACATAACCAGAGACAGAAGAAGGAAGGAAGGAAAAAATAAAGATGGAAGGAAGGAAATAAGGAAGAATGAAAAAGAAAGAAAGGTGGGTTGGATAAGTTAATATATGTAGATATCCAGAAAAGTTGGGTTACCCTTCATTTAGTGGTAGATACGGCTACATGATTCTTGACCTCTCAATAGAAGTATTTCTTGATAAAAGCTAGTTCTGGTAAGGTTTATCTGACTCTTTTTCCAATCTCTGCTCCTGGCTCTTTTTTTTCCTCTCTTTATTTTTATGAGTACATACAGATAATACTTTGGTACAAGACAGAAGAGAATACTATGGTTTATCTTTATAAAGCTGCCCCAAGCTAGTACCTAATTGGTATTAATGTGCAATCCCAGGCACACTGCCTTTCTTGGGAGACAACAGAATTAATTCTATACTATTTTAAAGCTGCCTTTGGAGTCTTGCATTTGAATGCATAAAATTGAAATTAGAATAATGAAACTGACCTGAAAAGTGCACCAGTGTGCTGCACCATGCCATTCAGAGTGTGAGGGAAGAGGGGGAAAGCCGTACTGTTTATATTCTTTATATTAAATCATCCTGTATCTGCAATGGTTTTTCAGGTCATTTGACAGGCTGCTGTAGAAACTTCCCAGATTTAGAATCTAGTGGTAATGGGCCAAAGGCAGGGCATTTGGATGAGTAGCCCTAGAATTCATTTTTTCTTGTGACCCATCAGCCTATGATGAGGTCAGGGCCTTGGATAAGCCCTGTGGCCAATGTCACTGGACTTTTACTATTAGAGCATCCTTCTGAGTAGCAACCTCCAGGTCATTGCTTTACAGATTAGAGAAGACTGAATTCCTTACCTTTTATTGAAAATGATACTCCTAGAAGTTCAGGGTTAAACTTTATCTTTCAGGAAAACTATACCCTGTCTGGTCTTTGTGGATAAATCTGAGCTGCTTCTGTTTATTCATTAACAGTGAGGAGATAAGACAATACTTATCTCTATGAAGTCACAAATGAATTCCAAGGGAAAAGTGTTTTCAGCAGTGATTAATTTATAAGACCTTGCTATCAACACAGCGTAATGAGATTGCAGGCAGATATTTGCATCCCAGAAGAGGCATATTTATTGTGCATTCTTTGGATGTTCATTAACAGACTAATGTAGGAAGGAAAAGTCTTCCAAAATTATTTTAAGCTTTGAAATTAATTTTGAAAATATTCACAGGGAAAATAAATAGTAAATATGTAATTTATATAGCAATAAAGAAAATCAACGCAGGCTTTGCGATAGTCCTCAGGAATGCCTCCTCAGGATCAGGCTAGAACTTAGGCAAAATTGGGCAGAGGGCAAAGTTTGTGTTCTGTACCCTCTCAATGCCCTTCTCTGTGATCCCCTTCTCTTCCTCTTCTCTGTGTATTGACATTTTAAAAGAGGGATCCTAGAATGAGTAATGTCTTGGTCAGAAGGAATGGCTCTCTTACAGGGTATAATTTATACTTTCTTTCTCTTTAATTTTCTTCTTAGTGTCTGGTTAAAGGGGAGAATTGCTCTCTAGCTGCCAAAGGGCTTGTGCATTTTGTAGCAGAATAATATTGCTCTTCTATTTAAAACCCCCTCATCAGTAGTAACCTTGTTTAGTGGGACATTGTGTTTCTGTGGCAACTGCAGACCTTGCTCCTGACAGTTTTCTTCCAAAGCTCCTTTTGGGAGTGCATCCCATGCCGTTCTGCTTTGTTTATTCACTACCCCTTTCATAGCAGGTAAAGTCAGGCTCATTAATTCTATCAAGGAAAGAAGGATTGAGGAAAGAGCTGGAGATTGCAAAGCATAAAACAGATGTGGAAAGGGACACAGAACGAAAGCATTTTCACAGATTTGGAGAAATTGCAAGGGCTCTCAGAAGGCAGCCAGTCCGACCCAACCTGAGAGAGCCCGGCTCTCCCATGTGTGACAAGTGTTCACCCAGCTTCTACTTCCAGACCTCCAGGGAGGGGGCACCCACCATTTCCCAATACAGTCTATTCCATTTTTGGAAAGCTCTGATTGTTAGGAAGGTTTTCCTCGCACCAAACCTAAAGTTTTGTTTTTGTAACTTCCATCTATTGTGCCTGGTTCTACTCTTTGGGGGCAAAACTGAATACATGTAATCTTTATATATGACAGCTCCTCAAAAAAATTGAAGATATTTATTGTGTCTCTCCAGAGTCTTCCTTCCTCTAAGCTAAACCTCCCTATCCTTTCATCTGAATGTCACATGGCATGGCCTCATATCCCTTCACTAGTCTGCCTACCTTACCTTAGCCACTATCCCAACTTATCGATGTTCTTCTTTAATTGTGGTATCCAAAACAGAAAAAAAAATATTCCATCTGTCCCCAGACTAGGGCAGAGTATACAAATGCCATCTGTGCTTTTATACCAATCATTTTTTAATTACTTTTTTTTGCATTTTTCCCTTTTTGTTTTAATTTATTTATGGAATAAAACAAGCATTTCTATAACATAGTACAATTAAAAAAGATGATTGCATATGAAACTGCAAATCTACCATGTACAACTTGCTATTCCTTCTAAATATACAAGTTATCATGTAAATTTCTTCTTTTTCCTTTTTTTCTTCCCTCCCTCCTGCCTTACCCTAAAGATGGCTACCATTATATACAAATAGGTAACTCTATCTCTCTGTACATACCTACACACATATACTCATATATGTCCATGTATACACGTATATATATTCTACATATTATATATAACATCACATATAGAATTATATGTGATATATATCACATATAGAATATATATGTAAAATTATTCTATCCATACCTCTATTTATCAGTTCTTTCTCTGGATGCAGATAGCATGTATTTTCATGTGTCCTTTTTTAAAAAAATTTATTCATTCATTCATTCATTTATTTATTTATGGCAATTGGGGTTAAGTGACTTGCCCAGGGTCACACAGCTAATAAGTGTCAAGTGTTTGGTCTGAGGCTGGATTTGAACTCAGGTCTCCTGACTTCAGGGCCAGTGCTCTGTCCACTGCATCACCTAGCTGCCCCCCTTTATTTTTAATTTATGTATTTATAATAGTCAAAATGACTTAGGTGCTCAGAGTTGTTCTTAATCCTATGTTGTTACTGTAGACAACGTTCTCTTGGTTCTGCTCACTTTGCTTTTCATCATTTCATGTAAGTCTTCCCATGTCTTTCTGAGATCATTCAGCTCATCATTTCTTATAACACAGTAGTATTTCATCACAACCATACACCACAACTTGTTTAACCCCACTCCCAAATTGATCTAATGCAAATGGTTCCTTCAATTTCCAGTTCTTTGCCACCACAAAGAGAGCTGCTGTAAACATCCCCTTCACACTCAGTTATAATTACTATTTGTGAAATTCCCTCTATATTATTTTTGCTCCCTCTTTTCTTTCTCAGCCTCTCTTTTTACCCTATCCCTCTTATCTTCTCCCCCAACTCTCCCACTCCCCATCCCACCTACTCCTAATATAAATTCTGAATGAAAAAAATGGACATTTGAAGACTTGAAAGACTTTCAGGTATTTTATACCAATCATTGATAAAAAAAAAAAAGTTAAAAAGCACAGGGCTAAGCATAGATTCTGGGGTTCTCCACTGGACACTTCCTGCCAAATTGATACTGAACCATTAAAGACTACTCTTTCAGTCCAGAAATTCAATCACTTTTGAATAATTGGATTCAACATCTTTTTTTTTTTTACATCTTAAAAATGTAGTATTTTCGTCTCTTTTTTTGAATTGCTTTTTTATTTCTGGTTATTAAAATTATAATAAAATGATTTTATTTTTGTTTTAGAGACTATCTTGTCCTGACTGGAAGTGTGGTAGCCACCCAGGAGGACTGATCCAAATATTGGTAGCAACCAGAACCTTAAACTTGTTCTGTTTTTCTAATCTAGGCTAGTTTGGCCCTCCTTTGGCAGCCTAATGACCCACGCTTGCAATATTGGTACTAAACAACTGATGGGCTTTAGCCCAACTGTAGCTCAGTACTCTTGAAGCTAAGTAATCTACTAGCCTAATCTCTTTCCTCCCCTCTCCCCAAATAATGGGGATTACATGTGTGCACCATTATGCCTAGCTAAAAATGTTTTTAAAAGTGCCTTTTCTATGAAAACTTCAAAAACCAATGAAGTAACAACTGAAATCCAAAGCCAAGTGCTAACCAGACCCACAGTGGCAGCCCAATATTGGAAAACCTTATTTATACCAGTGTATAAAGCTCTGTCATTCCCTCTGCTTGGTATAGGAGAAGGAATCTTAGCTTTGGAATAAGACTGTGGTTGGAATCCAGGCTCTGCCTTGATACCTGTGTGAGATTGAGCAAGTCATTTCAACTCTATGGCCCTCTGTTTTCTTAGTTGTAAGGGAAGGAAATTGGCCAGAAAATCTCTCAGGTCCCTTACAACCCTAATTCCTATTATCTCCCCTTGGAGAGAGGAGATCCAGGAATGTGGAATCTATGGAAATTTTAAGATGAATCAGCGAACTTCCACTTTTACTCTTAGAGTTTGCCTAGTGATGCCAATATCTGTCCAGCTCAGTTGATTCAACTTGAAAAAAATCCCATCAAAATTTTTTTGATGTTTTGCCCATCCTGTTTAGCTGTATTTTAAAATTAAGTGATTCAATATTTTGACTTCATAGAAAAACAGCCTGAGTATCTTGCTGCTAAGAGACAAGATTTTTGAACTGGGTACAGAATGACTTTCTTTACTAAAGAAAGATTTGTGCCCAAATGGGACTAGATTCTTACAAGGTTTCAATAGATCTCAGTTTCAGTAACTATCATTTTACATTGAAATTGGTTAATTGCTCCTCCATTGTGAGGAAGATGCTTTGTAAACTAGTAAAGTGGTATATGATTGTGAATTATTACTATTATTTAGCAGCATTTTTTTCAGCAGTAAGTAGAGGTTCTCTGTCTAACTGAGGAGAAAAGCATGTAAAGCCGAAAAGAAAAGAACTAGTTGGAGGGAGGGTTATAACCATACAGTCACAAAGAAAGAAAGTACTGAATAAAGAACTATACTAATATCAGTCTTGTTGTGGATGGTCTTTTTAACACAGGACCTTTAAGGAAATGGTTTTTTCCCTAGGAAGTTACAGAGATGTAGGAAAACAGCAGGAGGCTAATAGATAGATTTACATAAAAAGCTTAGCATAAGAATTAGCATTAAAATGTGCATGACATTTGCATGGATTATAGCCTTCTAGAAGTCATAATTTTGTGATTTTTTCCTGTATCTTTCCTATGATTTCTTCACTGAAATCATAGGGGAGAAAGAGAGGAAGAGAAGGAGTGGGAGAGGGAGAGAAAGGGAGGGAGGGAAGAAGGGGGAGAGAGAGAGAGACAGAGAGAGAGAGAGAACGAACTTACAGGGAAAGTGAAATAGTAAAGAACTAAGAAACAAGAAAACTATTTTAGGTTATGGAATAAGAGCCATGGTGTCCTTAACAGCATGGAGGACAAAGACAGTGGTAGGCGTTTTCCTTACAAGCCTATGAGGTATGTACTGTAATGTAAACATTGTTATTTCTGTTTTACATATTTAGAAACTGAGGCTCAAAAGCTTGAGTAGCTTGCTAAAAGTCATACAACTCATAAGAGTCAGATCCAGATCTCCTGCCTCCAAATTTAGTGATCTTTGGCAGCTTGGTAATGGATAGAACAAGAACACTGTCCTGGAGTTAGGAAGACCTGAGTTCAAGTCCAGTATCAGACACTTACTAAATGTGTGACCTTGGGCAAGTCACTTAACTCCTCTCTGCCTCAGTTTCCTCACCTGCAAAATGGGAATAATAATAGCACCTGCCTCTTAGGGTTATTGTGAGATTAAATGAGATAATATTTTTAAAAACACTTGGCATAGTACCTGGCCCATAGTAGACACTTAATAAATGCTTCTTCCTTCCTTCCTTCCTTCCTTCCTTCCTTCCTTCCTTCCTTCCTTCCTTCCTTCCTTCCTTCCTTCCTTCCTTCCTTCCTTCCTTCCTTCCTTCCTTCCTTCCTTCCTTCCTTCCTTCCTTCCTTCTTCCTTATCCCCTCCAGTGCCAGTGCTTCCCTCTAAGATTACTTTCCATCTACTCTATAATTATCTTTTTTGTACATAGTCATTTGCAGGATGTTTTCTCCTGCTAGAATGCGAGTTCCTTGAGGGCTGAGACTGTGTTCTTGCCTTTTTTTGTATTCTAACATTTTAGCACAGTTTCTGGTACATTTTAAGTGCTTAATAAATATTTGTCAGCCAAATGCACTCAGAAGGCAAACAGAACAAGACTATCCTGTGTTCATGTGACACTTTCTCATATATTTGAATCCAACTATCACATTTCCCTTAAGTCTTCTCTCCTCCATATTAAACATTCCCACTTCCTTCAAGAGATACTCCTATAGCTTGGACTCAAGGCCTCCCCCTATTTTGGTTAACATCCTCTGGATGCTCTCCTGCTATTCAAAGTCATTTGTAAATGTAGCATTTGAATGGAATACAATGTTCCAGATGTGATCTGATCAAGGAAGAATGCAGAGGGATTATTACCTTACTCCTGGAAGTTATGCCTCTAATAATGCAGCCCAAGATTACCCTGGCTTTTTGAGCTATTGTATCACACTACAGATTTGTTTTGAGATTGAAGTACCTATTTCGCTACCTACGCACTTATAAGGTGTGTTGCAAATGTAAGACGTGTAAATCCACATGACATACCTAACAGTATAGACGGGCAGCTCAAGAGGAGGTACATATAGCTAACTCTGGAATTAAATCTATTTGCCCCCATAAATATTGCTGTTATTGAACATGACTATTGGTTGAAAAGCTGCTAGATCCCCTGGTTTTTGTCCCTTAAAGCAGAAACATTCCTAAACTCCAAATTTACACCCATTTGTTTGGCCCCTTCCCACTAAATGATAGCTGCTCAAAATACTATTACAAGTAATGAGGGGCAGGTAGGTGGTGCAGTAGATAGAGCACCGGCCCTGGAGTCAGGAGGACCTGAGTTCAAATGCGGCCTCAGGACATTTGACACTTACTAGCTGTGTGACCCTGGGCAAGTCTCTTAACCCCCATTGGCTAGCTAAGAAAAGAAAAGAAAAAAGTTCATTTATGGGGCAGCTAGGTGGTGTAGTGGATAGAGCACAGGCCTCGGAGTCAGGAGATCTGAGTTCAAATCCGGCCTCAGACACTTGCCACTTACTGGCTGTGTGACCCTGGGCTAGTCACTTAACCCCACTGCCTAGCCAAACATACAAACAAACAAACAAGTAATGAACAGTGAGCAAAGAATAAGCAACAATTGGAGAAGTTATGCATATTAAATTATACCAGAAAATATGAATGACAGATATGTGTGCACACCTGTATATACACATACATATTCAAATATATACATATATATTTGTGTGTATATATCTCTACATATATCCATACAGCTATGCATATGTATTTACAATATACTTATATGTGTATGCATAAATCTATATAATGTATGTGAATATATCTATGATACCTACATGAATACACAACAGGAAAAATAGAAATCAAGTATATGTTTATATTTATAAAATATATGTATATATAATTTGTATAGACTTGCCTGTAGCTTATAGTTCTAAGTTAAATTCATTCATTTTCAAAGAATTGTAAGAGAAAAATTCCGATTCTCACTAAAAAGAACCTTATGACCATAATGAAGATATTTTAATTTCATTTGATTAACATTTGCAACAAAATTATGAACCAGACAGTAATGAGTGTCTTGGTTACTCTTCCCTATTGAAAATTATACCTAGCTATTTCTTTAGTGTTCATGCGGATGGAGATGATGACTAAATAATGTGTATGCAATAGGAGGAATGTCTACCAGGGTCTCCAGGCTGGTTCTTTTCCTTGAGAGTATTGAGATTTAATTGACTCTGGAGTCTAAAGACTTGGGTGTAGCTTCCTGATAGAGATTTCATCCTATAGTTTATAACTGTGTATAGGAAGAGATCTATCCTGCAGTGTGTTGATAAATGTTTAATAACCAACTTTCCAAGAAAAGAAAATGTACTCATGACACTGTTTTAAGTTTAATCTGGATTAGTAGCATTTTCTCTTTCAATCAACAAAACAATAAATCAAGCTCTGCTTTATAGCTTTTGCTAACTTCCAGGGTGTAAAAGCTGGCACTCAAAAGTTAACAATTGGTTCTCTCTCTCTCTCTCTCTCTCTCTCTCTCTCTCTCTCTCTCTCTCTCTCTCTCTCTCTCTCTCTCTCTCTCATCAATCTGTTTTCTTCTTCCACTAAATTCCTACTTGTATGTCTCATCAAAGACTAGAGAATCCTGAATTCCAAAAGGCTGTGATACGAGTACTATTTTTGGCAAGGTGGAAAGATCTCCAGTATAGTCTCAATGAAGGATTTGTGTTTATTGTCCAAAGATCTGCCAGACTAATTTTTGAATGGGTCAATAGCATAACATTGACCACCACGTCATTAAGATTTTTGTCAACAGCCATACTCAGAAATCATTTAGTAAGTCATGGAGGGATTGTGATCTACTAATATTCGTTAGTAGAGGTGGTAACAACACTCATGAAGTCACATATATTTTGATAAATATGCATATATTATACGTATGTGAAACATATACCTATATATATAGGTAAATTTTCATAGTTTTACACACACACACACACACACACACACACACAGGCATATGTCTATTTTATTGCAAACTATATGGATTAAAAAACAATCTGTTAATTTTCCAATAGTAATTCTTTCTCAAGGGTCTTTCCAACCAATGCTTTGTGTGATGTTGTGTGGGAAATTATTGGGAAAAAATGAAAAATTCAGTAAAGCATCTGGAAATTTCTCAAAATATTTGCTACTATACATGCAAAACATCTGGGCAAATGACTGATCCTTGTTTTTTTCTAGTTGTTTTGGGATCATATGGACATAGTCACTGAATTATAAAATGTAACTGAAGAGGAGGAATGTTTCATCTGTATAGAAAGTGAAGCTCAGTCTACTATTTTTCTTTCCTTTTTTTAACCTTTAGGGAACGGATTTTGCTGGATTCACAGCCCACATGTTCATTGGAATTTGTCTTGTTCTCTTGGTCTCCTTTCCTTTCCTGAGACTCCTGTACTGGAACAAAAAGCTTTACAATAAGGAACCAAGTGAGATTGTCGGTAAGTTCGAGAGGGTGGGGGAACTTCTCACTGTAGCTTTCCCTTTTTCCTGTGAGATGACAGGAAAGTAATTTAATTCTCTTTGAAAATGAGTTTTAGCACAAAAATGTAACATAAAATTATGGGCAGAGCATGAGATAAATGTCACCTGCCAAGATGTTTGCCTAATATAAGTGGAGGTTGGGATAACTACTCCTTCCTGATTATAAGGCAAGTTCAATACCTTTCAATCCATGAGTCCTGATTTTCCTAAGTATATCCTCTTCAATTTCTCTAATAGAATTAGTAGAATTCAGAAAGTAAGTCCTATACCATCATTCAGATCCTTTGTGATGATTCAAATGCCTATTATTTATAGTACAAATTATGTACTATTATTGAAATCCAGGGTACATAGGCCATATGACAAACAATTGTTTAGTGTTGAAATGTGACTTAAATATGAATCAAAATAAAAAAGATACTGTGATTCAAATACCAGTTAGTGTTCAGACGTGTTAAATAAACCAGTACTACTCTTAATGAAGCCTTGGTCTGTATTACCAAGTGAGATAATATTTGTATTATCAAATGAGATAACATTTGTAAATAAAATATGAGATAAAACTTGTTTGGCTCAATGCATGTACAGAGTAGGAGCCTGTTTCCTCTTTTCTTTTCCTTCCTATGCAGAGGTGTTTTTGTACTAATAGACCCAACAGAAAAGTTAGGGGACACATAAAAAATATAAGCAATTGTTAAAGGGACAAGTTATATCTAGGATCCCTGTATTCCTAAGTATGGCAATGCCTTCAAATGCTCTTGTATGATTTCAACCATGGTGATGATTTCTTCTCATTGTGAAACTTGGCATTTTCTTTTACTGTAAGTTTTCTTGGGAAGGTCTAACTGAAAAGTTGCAAGCTATCCAGATGGTTTCGGAAATGCTCAGTTTCCCTTGGGATAGGGCTGAAGTTTGGATAATGCCCAAATTTTTCTGATGCCAAAGTTTGGATGGTTGCTGACAATGCTATATTTTCTTTGCTTTCCTGTTTTTTTCAGTTTAACTTCAGCTGACTTGAGGTCAGTCATTTTTGGAGTTCATATGGTCTGTAGCTTTAAATTTTAATTCTTTTATTTCATGCTTTTAATTTGTTTTTGAGCTCTACAGACTAATGGTCTATTCTTCATCTTTAGTGGATTGGTACTCAACTTTTGATTTTATTGTAACTCTCACGTGAGGAATCTGCCTGTATTAGTGTAGGTTGGTACTTTCTTTCCAATTTTTAGCTTTATAAAGTTGTCTGGAGCATCAAGAGGCTAAGTGATTGACCCAGGGCCAGAGGGCCACTATCTGTCATAGACAGAATTTGAACCCAGGTCTTCCTGACTTTGAGAACAGTTTTCTAATATCATTGCTTCCCTTCATCTTTAGTAAGATACCCAAATTTCATTTCATAATTAGTAGTTAAAGGTCTAAATATTTTTGTTGTGATTCACCAGTCAGTGATTATCCAAGATAGACATTTCCCCCCTTCATGTGTAGTTTTCATTTCATGGGGTTTATGGGTGTTCAAGGAGGACTACCACCTCTGGCATGATGGCTTGCTGAGCCCCTGACTTCTCAACCACCTTTGGTGTCTACTTGATATTCAACTCTCACCTGTGGCTCCAAGAAGCTATAGTGTGTGCAGTGCCCACACTTTGGTAAACCATCTTGGTGGACAGGCTAAGCTAGATTGAAGATAACTGGCAAACTCAACCCCTTTGGTGAGTTAGAGGGCTGTCTACTCTAAATATGTGAAGACTTCCCTCATTAGAATGTGTAGTTGAGGACAATTTATTCCAAAGGATGCAAAGGCAGCTGAAGCAAATGCTGTGGACTGCTTTGGTTTGGAGTTTGGTTAAACATCAAAGATGCCAAGGTCATCTGCTGCATCCCAGGCCATCACCAGTTCTGACTTTTATCATGTCACTAGGCTTTGATGTCTCTTCAAGAGAGAGTGAGTCTGATGACTATGTGTGACTCTGCCTCACTTAAATCCAGTTAATGTACAAGTCAAGACATCACGCCATTGATCCTTTTAGAAAATGAAGGACAAACAACAATAGCTTTCATTTCATTGAGGCTGACTGCTTGTGCTGTAGTAGAAAGCATAATTGGGAGCCATTTCAGATAGCACCTTACCAGGATTCTGGAAGGATGGCTTTTTAAAAAGAGTATGAAATTTGCTCTCAGCAGTTATTTCATCATCTGAAATTTACCCCTAGAAATCATTCTTTGTGAGGGAGATCTGCTACTGTAAGGTAGATCCTACCTAGGAAGTTAGGGCACTGGATTTGAGTCTCAGATGTTGATGATAATGATAGAAGTCAAATGTAAAGAAAATAGGATTCACTTGAAATTCTTAAAATGGCACACTGAGTAATTTCAGATTATTTATTGGGTACCCAGTTCAGTACTGGAAACTGCCTTGAGCGCTTTGAATGAAAAAAATAGTACGGTTCTTTCCCCCACTGAACTTATAATTTAGCAAGGCAGACCAAGTTCATAGACATTACGTATTTAGGCAACAATAAACTGCTAAACCAGGTGATGTTGAATGACACAATAGAATCCTGGAGAAGAAAGAGGACAATGAAATGTAGGTCAAAACCTGAAGGACCCATGAAAGAAGTCTTTTGCACCAAAGGGTAAAGGAAGCAGTCCATTGTAAAATACAACAGGAAAAGTTAGAAGTGGAACTGCATTTCAATTTGCTATCCAATACTGAGACAATAGTCATTAGGTCAAATTTGATTCATTTAAATGTCAAATTGATTTCCTTTTAAAGCATCTATAATTATCTTTTTATAAATAGCCCTACCTAGTAGTAAAGGCCCAACCTCTCTGATGAACAAAGGAATCCTTTCTCCTATTGTCCTTTTCTTTATTTTTCTGGTGGCATTTGCTAGCATGGTGATTGAAACAATCTTTTTTGCTTTTCTTTCTGAACCCAAATTCAATTAAAATTTGCCTTTTTTAATAATTAGATTTCCATGACAATTAAATCTCATGACCTATTGTCATTGTATAGCTCTTTTAGATTCAGCATCTACAGTGGTTCCATAACCTGCGAGTTATGTATATTTGAAGTGAAATGAATTTTCTTTAATTTCTCCTTTTTTTGATTGTAATTATTATCCTGATACAGAGCTTAATGGAACAGAATTAGAATGTGATAATAATTAATTCATCTGTTTGAGTTTATATTTACATAGGCAAAATTAAGCTAAGAGTTGAGCAATTATTTGATGAATATGTGTGGTAAAGATAGTCTACAAAATTCTGTCTTGAATCCTATATACCTCAATAACAAATGAACTTTTTATGAGTCTGAGGGAGCATGAAAATGATATCATGTTATTTTTTCAGTGCTCTATTTTAAATTCCCTGTGCCCATTTGAGGACAGCAATGGGAACACCTATGCCTGCAAATAGAGCCATCTCTAAGAAGGGCCAAATGCAATGATGATGTCTCTCTAGGTCCTGCCCTGTAGAGATGCTATTAGTAACTGAAAATTGTCTGGTTCATAGGTTAGCCTGGTAAAATGACATCCTAATGATGATAGCACCTATTTGCATAGTGTCCGTTTTGGTAATTGATGTCTCATGTACTTAAAAATCATTTGAGTGTAGCTATTTAAAAAGAATCAATCCCCATAAATCTCTATTTGTAAGGCCCGCAAATGTGAGAAACTTCCATCTCTAAGGTCTTTATTCTGCCTCCTCCCTTGGTCAAGAACCATTTAGTGTGTCTCTTGGGATCATTCCAAACATCCACTGGAGATTAATTCTTGAAGAATAGATATTTATTGTTTAGCAGGTTCATACATTCTTTAGTCTCTCTAAATTGCTTCAAACATCATAGCTAATGTTACTTTAGAGCCACTAATCAATCAACCTTGACATTAATTATGTGATGTCCAGTTTGATTTTCCCCAGATCTGTTCGAAAAAAATCTGAAGTACTGAATATTTGTGTGTTTAAGAAGTTTTCACTTTGTGCCATCTCAAAACTTTTACCCTTTGTCTTTTATTGTATTTATTCTTTGTTCTGGCATTTTTTGTAATGACCTTTAGCCCAATTGTAATGCAATCCTGATCCCCTAAAAAATTTAAAAATAAAAGTACTATTTTTGTCTTTTCCATATACTAAGTTTCCTTTAATCCCTGAAATAAATGACACTTATGCAAGACGGGGGAATTCAAGGTTTAATGTGAAAAGAAACTTTTTGAAGGATAAAAAGTTTTGGAAACTTTCAAGAAACTTATAAATTTTTCATTCAGATTAGCGTCCTAATTTATAATCAGTTACTATTTGCTTAATAACACCAGATCCAGAATTTTTACAATCAGCCTGTTCACCCTGCTTTATTCCAATCAGTAGCTATTCCATTGCTAAGAGGTTAATCAGTGGCTTCTCAATGAAAATAAATGCAGAGGTCTCCCCTTATTTATTAAATTTTCTTTTGAAATGAATGAAAAAGTGATTGATAAAGGCAGATTTCATCAAAAGGGGCTCCAGTCACCTGGGTTGGAAGAAGTAGGAAGGATGACTTAATGGGCCATTTCCATCTCTAATTTCTTTGATTCTGTAATAACCTGATATGGATTGTGTGAAGCACCTGCTTTAATCAAGGAAATATCTGACATGTTGGTTGCTGATTGGCAATCAGCTGAGGTTTTGGAGTTTCAGGCAACCTACATTAGTTGTGCCCTGATTTTTCTGGTCTTGAGGCATTTTAAAAGACCTTGTTTTGAGGGTGCTTAGATTAATTGTTTCATATGGGAATTCAGCTTTTATCCATATTAGAATATTTTGTAGCCCATTGACCCAAACTGAGAATTGGGAAGTCTATGGGTGAATGAGGACTTGACATTTTAGCATCAACTTCTTTATTGCTTGTAAGCATTTTGTTATATAGGACTTTGCATTGAAAAACAACTTGTAGTTATTTCAATTAGTTTTCCCTGAAGAC